GTGACCACACTTTCATTCTAGCATGTTTTCTTGATCTTTAGCCTCAGATGCTGTAAATCCCTGCACCTCTGCTGAATCACCATTCCTATGTATTAGGGACTGCTGGAAAATTACAATCATGGTGTTTTGATTTATTCACAGTTGGGTGCAGATGGCTCAAAGCAACTGCCAGAAAGGCTGCAGTCTTCTTCCTCCATGTTTCCTTACTGAATTAATAAAAAAATACTAACTTCTGTTTAAATTCCAAGGTTGGTACATTTCTTATCTATTCTAATATTGTGTTTTGTTCCATAATGAGCCTTAGGAAATGTAGCCCTTTGTAACTTTTTCTGTAAATGACTGTCAGTCTAGAAACATATTTTGACCTGCTCTACCTTTACATTTTAGCCATGTTCATTTCAATCTCATCAGAATTTTACAGGAAAACTGTCTCAGAAAAGAAATCTTATTTTCAAGCTTCTAAACAAATAAATTACAAAAATCACAGTTTAAATAACCTGATTTGATCATTGTAAAAAGAATCAACTACTGTACGTGCTTTTAAATATCTGGCTCAAATTTGATGACTTTTAAAACTTTATCTACTTGGAAGTTTAAATTTGATAAGATTCCTGTATAAAAATTCCTTCCAGAATAATAAATCCTCTAAATTCATTATTGAGGTTTCCTTATTTGGTGCTGCTAATATAGCCCCTTAACCACAGAAACCTCATTAACAGCTTTATAGCTCTTTGGAAGTAGCCTCTTGATTCAAATATTTTTCTGGAAATGTATGAAACAAGCTCTCTTGTTTCACTTGAGTTCTCAGGATAAAATAAACAAAGAGCTAAACAATGTGTGTACACTACATTTCCTGTTTTTGATAAATTCATCACAGAGATACACATGAAAACACTGAATTTACTTTAAAACAATTATTATTGATCAAGTTAGCTACCAATTTACAACATGTTAAGTAGTAACTACTGGGTAAATTTTTAATAAATAAGAGTGGTTTGTGGGGCATTTAGTTTTTCTTTTCAATTTGAAATGATTTACTTGTTTTAAAAAAATAAACAATTTATATCAAGCTGTGCAACTATACTTCCATGTTATGAGTCTATTTTAAGAATAAACCATTTCTCTTAGATTGAATCTCTTCACAACACACAGATTTTCTTGATTTGCTTTTTTAGAATTCTAGGTGCAGATGTTCCTAAGATATACACCAGATTCCAAAATGTTAACTTGGGCAGTGTATTATGAAGAACTTTTCAGAGATTCATGATTTTGAAATATACACTTTCAACAGCTGCTTCAGATGACAGCTAAACTATAAGAGTGGATGGTACCAATAAAAGGTCCAAAAAAAAGAAAAGCACCACTTCATATTTGTAATAAAACTGGAGACAGTGTCTAGTTAACATTTACCGCAGTCAGGAAAATAAACAGATGTTCAAGTCTTTGTTGCATGGCAACATTTAGAACCATCCAAGCTTCCTATTAGCAACTGTAAACCTGAAAGAAAACTCAGTTTACTTTTCTCTTGGAATTTTAAATGGAAAACCTATTGCATCTTTCTTCTAATGGAGAAAGTTTGCTAATTAACAACAAAATATTTGACTGTTATGAATTGATTCATGAATAAATAGTAGAGTCCTAATTAAGTGGAAAAATTCCATTTTCAGAACAATATGGCAGATTTTGACTATCCCTCAATATTCTGATCCCCATTTGCATGGATGGTAATTGCATGCACATTTTTGTGCGCACAATTATTAAAACTTGGGCCTTAAATAGATTTTCTGCTTGCACTTTTATGTTCTATTACTCAACTATTTTAAGACCGCTTGATAAATGAGTGTATGTCTATCTATTTACTTACTTAGGTGAGGGGAGATATTCCAGCATTTATGAGTCTACTACTCTAAAATTAAGCTACTGAGGGTATATCTAATGGAAAAAGCTATTTTTCAAACTCTGATTTGCATGGCTTCCCCCGTCCACATCTCAAGTCCTGTTGCGTTTTCATTATTTATTGAAAATAGTTGATAGTACTGTCAAATTAGTAGGATTAACCTACTTTAAAGGAAATTAGACCCCATTTTCATGCCCAGATCATTAACACCTATTTATTATTTCAGCTTCCATCATATGCTACAAAATGGCCAGTTCCCTGTGGATAATACAGATCCATGCTTATCTCAGCCGCTGTAGCATCCAAAATAGGAATATAGACCACTACTAGAAGCCAACATACTGGATGAGATGAACCTTTGAACCTGGATAGCTATCCCAGTGATTAAACTCCGCACAAAAGTGTGTTTCTCCTTCCCCTCCCCTCCCCTGCCCAGTATCTAACTCTTCACAGTGTGTGTGAATTTAGTAGTTATGGAAGTGAGGGACATATTTGGGGGGAGAGAGGAATTTTGCAAGCTCCATGCAAGTCTGCCACTTAGCCTCAGTTTAGATATTAAAATAATCCCGGGTAACTGTGTGCAATTCTCTGAATTTCTCAGATGGGTGGATTATTGCTCTCATATATGGATGACTTAAGATACACTATGAATTCAGGTGTTCAAAGGTGAAAGGCTAGTGCACTGAATCACTATCCATGCAGCCCTCTGCTTTCTATGGGTCACTCTGTGCTCTTACTGACAGCTCATCGCTCTTTCATTGCAATGCCTAGGTAAAATGGGATCTCAGAAATGTTAGCTACTCATTTGTGCAAGCAGGTCTATAGTGCGTTAAGCAAACAAAGTAATTCCTGAAAAATTCCACACTGACTTCACTGGGCATCAGGGCTGCAGGCTCAATCTCATAGTCTATACCTCCCAGAAGAGCTTTCTCTCTGCCTCCCGCTCGCATGTACATAAGCACCTTCTCACCTGTAAAAGACCAGGGTTGAAAATTCCCCTTGCAGCATATCGGTCTATGACTTGGAGGAAAATAAATTCCTTTAGAGCAACCAAAAGAGGATTTTCAAAAGTGGGAGAGGGAAATTACTATCAAAGGAAAAATATACTGTGCTTACGTATAAATCTTAATAAAAACTTAAGTGCCAACCACCTTTACCTAACAAATTTTTTTTAAAGGAAAGGTAAAAAGGAATAGGCTGATAGTTTTCCCTTCCCACCCCCTCCACTTCCTGCTTCCAGCCATTTTCTCACTGATCTAAAACTAGCCATGGGAAGATTTGGCTGTATTAGTTCCAGGCCCGTGTAAGTGTAACGCCAACAGACCCCTGTTGGGGGCGGGCAGGATCAAACCTGGGGCCTCTGGAACTTAGTGCATGAGCCTCTACCACATGAGCTAAAAGCCAACTGGTCTGTTAGCTAAGGCTGTAGAGCAGACTCATTTTTTCTCTCTCCCTGTTAGTGGTCTCTAAGTGCTACTAGATGGGACAGAACACCACACCCGGGGAGGTGTGGGTTACATAAGGATAAACAAGGGAAGGGCAATACAAGAAAAAAAAGTCTGTATTGGGCATTACATTGTGTTGGATAATGATCTGCCAATTATTCATCCTTAAAGCTTCTCCATATCTGGTTTCTCTTTCTGAGCCAAGCCCAAATGCAAGGATATTGCAGGGAAATGAGTATTGTTGTCTATCCAACACTGCACTTTGCCTGAACTCTATCATCACTTGAGTGATGTACCTCTGCGAGTGCCGCTCTAGAGCTATCCTCTCAAGTGCACTGAAGATGAAGCCTCAGAGTCCTCACAAACATTCCCATTATTCCTCACCGTGGTACTTTTTGACATGGCACAGAAAATCCTTTCAGCATAAAAATTGCTCACAGCAGACAAGAAAAAGGTATAAGCAGTACCTAGCGAAAAGATGCACAAAAAGACCTGTCCTCCCGTGTGGTTATCTTAAATAAATAGAACAAGACATCCAAACTATCGAGTTACATTAAATGGTGGTCTTTATGACATCTGCCCTGCCCATCTTGCATTGTTTAGATACCCCTGCATGGCCTTCTGTTATTTCAAGAGGTTTTTTTTAAAAACTCTACCAACCTGGAACTGCCTACTTTAGATAAAAAGCAACAAAGAGTCCTGTGGCACCTTATAGACTAACAGATGTATTGGAGCATTAGCTTTCATGGGTGATGAAGTGGGTATTCACCCACGAAAGCTTATGCTCCAATACATCTGTTAGTTTATAAGGTGCCACAGGACTCTTTGTTGCTTTTTACAGATCCAGACTAACACAGCTACCCCTCTGATACTTTAGATAAAGCTTTTTTCAGGCTAGTTTCCCCCAACATTCCCCCAACCCTCGGTTTTGTAGGTTTGAGAGAGGAAGGCAGTGACAGGCAGCTCCAAGTAACATGCAGACCAACAATGGAACGCTCACACCTTTTACAGCATGTAATGTATCCGTATGTTCTCCAGGAACACCACAAAGTACAGCTAAGCAGGGCAGAAACAAATTCCACACTGAAGTAATAATGCGACCCCGATAAGGTTAACTTTGTAAATGGCATGAGAGACAGGTGCCAAATGCAGCATCTACAGCTCTAAGAAATTTTTTTCTTTAGTTTATTAATATATAGACATCTATTCTTCAGTGCTTGCCAGCACCTCCCATATTACTTTCTGTACCGGCAGGATTCAATTATAGCTGTATCTTCATTATGTAATGTTCATTTTATGTTCTTAAACATAATTCCCTCTCAACCTGAGTTTAAGTCACTGAAGCTAGTCACTCCCTCCCCTGATTTTCACATTATAAACACCCCCACTCCAGAGTCAATATAATTTGTTACAGCAGCATGCTATATCCCTGTCATTCTCCTAAGCAACAGGAAAATATAATTGCAAGTCACTTTAATTAAACATTTCAAACAGCAGAAACGTGAAGGAAAAAGGGCATCCCTCTTTTGTTTTTCCCCTCAAATATGATGGCATCCTTGCATGGTTAATACTGCTGCTTGCAACTAACACATTCTATTTATTCCACATACAAACTAGCAGTGTTTGGGGGTTTCAAAGAGCGTTCATGTGTTCTTTACCTTGTAGCAAACATTGCTCTCAGAGAAGAGAAGGTAGCAGCATCTTCTTTTAAAGCCTTCAGCTCATTACGCAGCTTCATCATTGTCTCCGTAACCATAGCTTTCTCATTTTCATACTTGCTTTTTAAGTTGGCAAGGGCTACCTCTGCAGTCTATTGTTTACCAAGAAGAACAAAAATGTACCAGTTAGCTAACCACTTTATGAAGGGTTTCATTAAGAAGTTTTTAATCTCCATTCATATAATGGAGCATTTACTTAGTACTGAAATGTTAAACTTCTAGTCAATTTTTCCTGGACAGATTAAATGAATTGCATATTAGGATATTGGAGACAAAAAGAGAGTTTGTTTCCAACCATAAAGCACCATCCCAAGGCAGTCAGCCTGAGGATATTTAGCTAGTTGTATATATATTCCCAACACTACTTTGTTGAGTCAAATGCTATTGTAAGTTATATCAACGCCAACAAAGATGCAAAAAGCTAAACAGTATAAATTAAGGACTTAATCTCGATTTGCAAGTTATTGGGGCTATAACTACATATAGCTTCTAAACTGCCCCAATTTTCAGAATGGATTACATTTTTCAAACAGTAATATTACAAACAAGATGAGTACAAGTCTATTTCTGAAATAATGTACTATATAATTATTATTTATCTTAACATCTATGCTTTGAGATCAATTTGAATTTACATCACCTTAATTTTAGATTAAATTAATGAAGCATTTGTCAATTTAAGCCCTAGAAACAGCTGATCACAATTATTCTAATGTACCTGTGCTACTATGGTTATCAAAATGACATCATCCAGTTGCCAAAATTTAAAAATCTCTATTTCTACTTGTTTTTCTTGCCTTATTCTGTTTTTTTTTTTTTTTTAAAGTTCTTATACCATTACCATCACCAAGCAGTGTTTGAATTGTATGTGCGTGCGTGCGTCTATGTATGTGTATGTATAAAATCTTAGAAAGGACATACTTTTTACAGTCCCTTTAAGAGACCAGCAAACGTAATTCTTTCAATAGAAAAATAATGTTTACCTTTTATTTTCAGTGAATTCAATGATTATTGATCCATTACACTACATATAACCTAATATGTTTTAGGCTGTCACGATTGAAGCTTGCCCAGAATGCTTTGTCAGTGTACTTACTCCTGATCTTCAACAGCCCACTATTCCAGTTCAGAGAAGATGCCAATAGCGTTACATTATGTAGGAATGTATTCATATATTCCCTGGGCACTAGACTGAAGCCACTTTCCATTTCTCTTGTCATTTCAGCTAAACTGGAACTCATGAAATGCAAAAGTATGTCAAGGTTTTGACTCCCTGGACTGCAAAACTTCAGCCCTTAGGCCTGGTCTACACTAGGGGGGGTGTCGATGTAAGATACGCAACTTCAGCTATGGGAATACCGTAGCTGAAGTCGAGGTATCTTATTCCGACTTACCTCCCATCCTCACGGCGCGGGATCGACGGCCGCGGCTCCCCCGTCAACTCTGCTGCCGTCCCTCACTCTGGTGGAGTTCCGGAGTCGACGGGGAGCGCGTTCAGGGATTGATATATCGCGTCTCGATGAGACGCGATATCTCGATCCCCGATAAATGGATCGCTACACACCGATACGGCGGGTAGTCTGGACGTACCCTTAGACTATGTACATGGAGTGAAATCCAGGCCTCACTGATGAATGGGAGTTTTGTCACTGACTTGAATGGAGCCAGGATCTCACCCATGACTGCAGTGTCTAACACATGTGGCAAATGGCAACAAGGGTCATTCTAGCCAAATTTTCTTTAATGCATTTGCTTATGATATAGCTGTGTAAAACCCTGGGTTTCATCTCTGCAAAACCTGCTCACCTGTTTGTTGGCCTTTAGCACAGTTCTTAGGGTTGCTATCTGTTCTCTCTTGGTGCTTAACAGGGACTTCAGCTTCAGGATTTCCTCCATGAAAGCTTCCTTGTCTTTGTCCACTACCGGCCCAAGTTCTTGGGTGGCAACACGCTGCCTGGACAACTCGGTTGTTCTGTCCACCGCAGCTTGTAGGTGTTTGATCTGATCGCGAATTATAGCGATCAAGTTGTAAATGTTCATGGGTTCCTTCCGAGGATCTGACACAGGAGATGGGAGGGATGACACTGGAGATGGACTACTGTCACCACTTCCATTCTCTGCCTTTCCTAGGTCTATTGATAGCAGCCCTTTAGAGAGCAGGATCGGCGACCTTCGACCTTTGCCCTCTGGGCTGCTGCGTCCTCCTTTACCCTCTTTGTAATAATCCAGCATCACCCTGTTTGGAGTTTCATTGTTGCACATGCAGACGTGGTGATACAAATTGGCCAGCTCCTCACTGAACGTGACTAGTTCATCTTGGGCTACACTGAGACTGCCCTGTGTTTCTCCAGCAACGTCGCTTACTTTCTTCAGCTCCTTCTCCAGTCTGGCTACCTGTTCTCTATCTTGCCTATTAGATTTTTCTAACAAGGTGATCTTTTCAGTAAGAGCTTGGCTTTCAGTCTCATATCTGTTCTTCTCCTCCTCATATTTAGACTCACACTCTTCATATTTGCCCTTAAGGACTTTAAGCTCTTCTTTTAGGTCACCAATCTCTGCCACGGCCACTTTGTACTTGCATTCTAGGATCTCTGGCCCATTGATGTCAACTTCATAATAATCTCCATCTTCATGGCTGTCACGCTCCTTCTCATTGTCAAGAGCAGACTGACGTTCCTTGCTGACTTGGAGTTTTTTCATTGCATTAAGGTTCTCTGTGAGCCTGCCAACTTTCTCATGCTGCTCTGAAAGGGCTCCCCGGGTGTTCTCCAGCTGTTTCTGAGACTCTTGGAGTGTAGATAACAAATTAACTTTTTCTCTTTCCATCTGAAATACATAAAGTCAGACATTCATTCTCTGGAAGCAAATATTTGTGCAGCTTTATTCTGTACAATCATATGAGAAAATGGTCAACAGTCAATCAAAGGTCAGACAACTGCAGAAACTCGGTCCCTTACACTCTGTGGAAAAGGCAACTCCACTTATATTAAACTCAGTCTCAAAACCTATTGGCACCATTACTAATTTGCATCATACGGTGGTTCTTATATCCATTAAGGATTTTCAAACAAAAACATTCTTTCCTGTTTTACCTTCCCCTTCCACAGTTTGGGTCCCTTAGTAAAACCATTATCCGTTCAGCCAAAGCTGATGTAAAAGCTGGTGTTGTCCTGTAAAGTGCCTAGGAAACAATTGGGCATTGTAAAAATAATAAAAAAATAATAAAAATGTGAAGACAGTCAATAGCGGCAGTTTAACATAGCACTATCAACCCCCAATTAGCCCTGTTAGCAACAGAAAAAGATAAGACATCAAACTATTGTCACCCCACAGTGCAGCACAGGGCACTAAACCTTCAGGGAACGCTTGAACTGGTCAAAACTAGTCTTGTGTTTTTCTATAAAAAAATTCTAAATCAAATTTTTTGAACTTTGTTTATTTTGGTGGGAAAAAAACATGGGAGGGGGAGTAAAATGACACAGAGGTGAACCTCCCCCTCCCCCCCAGTCTCACTTAATCTTCTTTTCCGGTGAGGAAAGTACAAAAGTGCTACTTTCTTCCATCTAAGTTAAAAAGTGAAAATTTAACTTCCCCTCAAATTTTTATATATTTTCTTTCCCCCACTTTTTGGGGTATTACTATTTTTTTTTTAAGTGGGCATTTTCTCACAATTCTAAAACAATTTAGGGATTTTCCCTGATATTTCTCAATTTGAAAAAATGAAAAATTTTGTCAAAACCAACATTCCCCCAGCCCCTACCCCGCATGTTTTTATTAAATCCCATTTTTTAACATCAGAAAATTTTCAGCAAGCTCTAGCCAACTCATGTGTGCCTTGTTTTATATTCTTCAACACTGGGTGGCTTGCTTATAATATAGAAAATGCAAATGACAATTCATGGCAGAGACTCTTAAGCAAATTAAAATGGATTTCATTTTCATCAGACTATGAATCGCATTAGACAGGAATTATAATACATTTAAATATAAAAGTACATTATGACAGGTGAAAAAGCTCCAGTTTTAGTATTTGCAGGAGACCCATCAGACTGTGGGAAACTGAATGAAAAAGATCTTTCAAGAAGACTGAGTTACCCCACAGTAATCTCAGACTGCTAGTGTAACAGAGATTTATTATCTAGGATCTTGACATTTACCTGCACAAGCTGTTGTTTCAACTTCTGGATTTCTGATATATTTAGCTCGCTCAGAAGATCTGAGACCAGGCTTGGGGCTGGAGGGAAGCTGTCATTTTTCTTGGGAGTGGATGTATTATTCTTGCCATTGCTAATTTTGCTGAGGCAGTTCTGTTCAAAGCCATTCATGATTTCATCGTTATTGGGCTCTGTGGTTTCATCGCTGAACTTCAGTCCATCCAAAGAGATGTTCAGGTGGCTGGTGTACATAGAGTCATTGATGTTCATGTAATGAGAGAGCTCCTTACGAAGGTTGTTCTTCTGCTCACGCTCAGTCTTCAGGGTCTCTAAGGCCTCCTCAAGTTGGCGTTCTGAGATCTCTTTCAACCGTATAGCATCTTCCAACTGGCTGTTGAGAAATTCTGTTTCCTCTTCAAGCCTTTTGATTTCATGTTTTAGGCCTTCAAACTCCACCTAGAGAACATATGATAAAATACTATCACTAAAATGCCTGACTGTAAGAGCTCACAAAGCAATTTCAGAACACTTCACTGATGTCTATTTTATTTAGTTAACTGTGGTGGAGGGGGAATAATTTTTAGATTCTGGACTCTAGTTCCTGCACCACGACTATAGACATCATACTTTTAATCTACCTTTGAGAGTGCATGCAATAAACATTTTCTGAGCAAACTGTTCAATGATGTTTATCTACTCCAAATTAATTAGAATAATTATGATTTGCACCATGTTGTAAAGAGGCAGCACTCAACTCTTTCACCTAGCATATAATCCCAACTGTTTGATCAGTAAATCCATGTGCCAAACTTCACACACACTCAACCCTCAACATATTTAAAACCAAAGATTTAAAAGCTGTGAGCCTGATTCACTATATGTAACGCCATTGAAATGGCCTGTTTAAAACTGTTGTGATGCAGTGATGAAGGACCCTATAGTTATAAATGTATGCAAAATGCCTTATTACTAAGCACAGACTAGGACGTCTTCAAATCAAACCTATACTGACAATACGATATGAAATCTCACTGTATTACCATAGTTTTCTCATCTGTACAATGATGAGAAAACTATCTGTTGTGCATTGGTTTTGTAACCTTAATTAATGTTTGTACAGCTCTTTGGATTCCTTGGAAGAGAAAAAAGAGTAGCAGAAGTACTGTAATATCTTATTTATTTTTGTCAGTGAGGAAAAAGGGATTTTTAAACAGTAATATTCTCCCAGTGCGATATAGTGGAACCAGAACTGACTCATGACTTAAGCCATGCATCCTTTGTGTTAATTCTGCTTTGCAAATGATCTGGAAAACTTGAGGGTTTCTTTTGGTTGTCTCAATGGATTAATTAAAAACTAATAACATTCAGTGGATGGGATTATGGGATGGAGAAAGGCAAAAAAAATCCAAATGTCATTAATAGAAAATTACTTACTTTGGTTCTAAATATAACCACCAAACCGGTATATTTAGGACGTAATTCACATTATTAAAGGATCCAGGACACAAAATGATAACCAGCAATTGCTGGAAACAGCCATCTACCAAACACTGCCTGACAAATTTGGCTGAGGCTCAAAGTCAGCATTAGTGAGTTTAATTGGCTTTGGGTGCAAAGATTTAAATAGCTAGGCAATTTCACTTGCTTCCCCCTACAGGGCCAAAGTGAAATCCTGCTGGCCAGAGGGGAAAAAGAAAAACAAGAAGGGAGGACAACATTGTTTGTTCTGGTTTCAGAGTAGCAGCCGTGTTAGTCTGTATCCGCAAAAAGAACAGGAGTACTTGTGGCACCTTAGAGACTAACTGCGTGCATCCGATCAAGTAGGGTTACCATACGTCCGGATTTTCCCGGACATGTCCGGCTTTTTGGGCCTCAAATCCCCGTCCGGGAGGAAATCCCAAAAAGCCGGACATGTCCGGGAAAATAGAGAGGGAGGGGCCGCTGGGGCCGGCGGTGCTTGGCCGGGGGCCGAGGCCGCTGGTGCTCGGCCGGGGGCCGGGGCCGCTGGGGCCAGGGCGGGCCAGAGCCACTCGGCCAGAACCAGGGCCGGCGCCCCAGGGCCCGAGCCGAGCCGGGCGGGAGACGCAGGCCAGAGCCTCTTGGCCTGGGCCGGCTGGCCGCCAGAGGGAGCCGCTCGGCCGGGGGGGGCCGGACTGGGCCGTGCCGCGCCCCCGCCCCAGTCCCAGCTTACCTGCTGCCTCCCTGTTTCAGGCTTCCCGCGAACATTTGATTTGCGGGAAGCAGGGGAGGGGGAGGAGCAGGGGGGTGGAGCGTTCAGGGGAGGGAGCAGAGTTGGGGCAGGGACTTTGGGGAAGGGGCGGAGTTGGGGCGGGGCCGGGGCCCTGTGGAGTGTCCTCCTTTTTTTAAATTAAAATCTGGTAACACTAGATGAAGTGGGTTTTAGCCCATGAAAGCTTATGCTCAAATAAATTTGTTAGTCTCTAAGGTGCCACAAGTACTCCTGTTCTTTTTATTGTTTGTTCTGTTTCCCAGTTATTTTCTTGAGGACCTATTATGGCTGCAAATGCAGTGTGTACAAATAAGCCAGTTCCTCAGCTAAAGATCTGGACCAATGTATTCAGTGAGGGGGAAACTCATAAGTAAGAGTGCTTTGTAGTAGTTGGAATTCATTTGCCTCAACCAAACCGTGTCTCCTCAATGTGTGATGTTTGGGCCACATAGTCCTGGCCCGCCCTCAACTCCCCCTACATGCTGGCCTATTTGGGGCTGACAGAGTTCTCTTCTAAGCACACAGGTGGTGTGGAGGCCCAGTTGTATGGCCAGCCCACCCCAGAGAGCTTGTGCAGACCCCTCTGCACCCCAGGATGAATTTCACCTTGACAGGTTTGGAAGTGCACATAACACCTCACAACACCTAGTTGAAAAAGTGCCTTCTGCTGAACAGTCCCCGGGGGGGGGATTAAAATGAAGGTTAAAAACAAATCCCAGTAAGTTTTAATTTCATATTTTCTATATTCTAAGGCAGGCACAGCTACATTTCCCCCCCCCAAGTGCTTCTTAACTCAGCAACATTGCAGTATTTTCTGAAGCCTCCCAAACTACAATGCTGTATGCGGGTTTATAAAATTAAATTGACAGGATCTCGGGGGGGGGGGGGGGAGGGAGAATGATTAGACATCAGTAGATAACTATTTCATCTGTATACAGCTGAGAGACACAATACAAACAATCCCGATCTAACTACTGTCGGAAACAGTAACAGAAGAAAATTCTAAACTCATTACAAATATGTAATTACCTTTCCTGAGAATCTGCAGATGATTAGAACTGTACAATAAAATATTACTTCGTTTTGTAGCATGTGCATCACACAAGTGTCTGACAATGCAGAGCAATTATAGCAGTGTTTAAAATATTACAATAGGGAGTCAGAGAAGACAGAACATTAGGAGAGCAATAGAAGTAGCAAGCACCAACATGAAGAACTGTCCAAAAAATATATTAATTACAGGTGAGACTGGCTGACATATTTTAAAAGGCGATGAAGAATCAGTGCAGCAAGGAGACAACTCCTAATAGCTGATGTAGCAGGGGATCAGCCTCCTATAGAGGAAAGGAGGGAGTGGAAGGACTTAGATGAGACGAACAAAGAACTAGCAGAAGGGAATGACCAAGTCAGGGGTATAGGCAGAGAAGAGATGAAGGTACTGTCATGAAGAACTTTCAGTACAAGAGGATTGATTCTGTCGTGGACAGAAAGCCAGGAGTAGCCTTTTGAGGGTGGGGAGATGTGGCTGCTAATGGGCATGGAGGCAGGTTTTAGCATGATGAGCACACAAGAGCAGCCTGGAGCCATGCTGATGATTTCCATACTTGCCTGGTTTTGCTTGAGGACAGACACTTGTTTCTGAAGGCAGATGTTCTCCTCCTCGAGCTCAGTGTAGTCTTGCAGCAAACGAGCTTCTCTGAATTTATATTCCTTGATGTCATCTCGCAGGCGGGCTCTCTGGGTCTCCACATTCTGATTGAGCTGCGAAAGAAGCACCAAAAATATACGTGTCTATATTAACTATCTATCTAAAGCTATCACTATATGAACAACAATACTTCAATTTTAAATTAAACTGTGCATACATCCTCATTATTTAATGAGACTAATCTGAACCTATTTTTTTTTTCATTCTTAGCTGAAGCCTAGGGAATTAAGTACTTTACACAATAATTAATGATGACCTACTTCCTTATGTTACGGGGGACTACCTCTCCCTCATGCGAAGTAACATAGCAGAGAAAGCAACACTATGGGCTTGTCTACACTACCGCGCGGGGGCAATCTAAGATATGCAACTTCAGCTACGCTGACGTACTTAGATCTACTTACTGCGGTGTCTTCACTGCGGTAAGTCGACATCTGACGCTCTCCTGTTGACTCCACTTACGCTCCTCGTTCTGGTGGAGTGCCGGAGTCGACGGGAGAGCGCTCAGTGGTCGAAATCGACCCCGTTCCGGCGGGTAGTGTAGACAAGCCATAATAGAAGAACTCTCACTCACAGGCTGTAAGCAACAGGGCAAAATCTTCCTGCTTGGGACTCTAACGTTACTCACCTCAATCCATCTTTAGGCATTTAAATGAAAAGGGTAAATACAGATTGAGGTATTTAGCTTTAGGCAACCCAGATTTGAATACTGGGCCTCATTGCTTATGACCCTCACCAGAACTTTAGCCCATCCCCAGTGCTGACAATGCAGCGCCGTAATTTGGGGACACTGCATGGTTAGAATTAGGAGAGGTGCATCCTTTAGATGAGACATGGAACTGAAGATCTGCACAGCTCTGATGAAAGCCAATATGTTAATCAGGAAGATTAGGACAGCCTGGTGAGTTGGCCAATATTCCCTCTCTCGGTAATAGCCCAAGATTATACAAGACATTGCTGAGCAAATCCTATGTCTTCATACACAGTCGCCACAACCATCCAACTCATCCCTGGAAAGCACTTCGGGATATGCGAGTACAAAAACCAATATAATGAACCAAGTTATAGTCACATGACATATATATGCAGACACTCAAATAAATGTTGAGCTAGCACAAATTCCATTTGTTCGGATGCCTCACTGTACTTTGCCAGATTATTTTCCCCACACAATATTTTTTCCTTCAAGCTACACTGAACTATAACAGTGAAAAATATACTTTAAATGTTAGCAACAATATTTTCAGAGGAAAAAATGTTTAAAAAAAATTCAGCCATAACAGAGCAGCCAAGTATTTTGCAGCTGTACACTGGATAGAGTGAAGATAATAGCTTTTCAAACAATTACGAAAAAGCTAAAAATAAAAGGAGAGGGGTTGTCTATTATTAATTCAACAATTTAGGTTATCGCATCTTGTTTCTGCTATCCTCAATCCAGCAGTGTAGCCAAAATACAACAAAAGTGCTTCATTCTTTTCTAAAGAAAACCAGTACAGAGAGCTACTTTGGATTCTCTTAGCATAATGTTATACTACTGGTTGTTGGAAACCAGATCAACACTGGTTGCAAATTCATCAAAACATTGTGTGCAAATCAGCAGCCTCTTCAACAGAGATACATAGCACAGATGTCAAATAGGCATTTACTGAAAGACACAACAAAAGAAAATAGATGTATTGCAGGAGGGATGCCAGGAGCAGAGTCTGTTGTGTTTTCAGGACATACGTGGAGTTGAGTCACCTGGAACTACAAATCCAATAAAGTTAACACTAGCTCTCTCCCACCTCAGGTAGAGATTCAACTGTATAAATTAGTTTATTTACTTTTAGCAGACAAGAAAACAGTATCCCTAGCACAGTGGGAGGCTAAATTAAAATAGCCTGTTTTAGCTGATTGCTAAGACACTAAAATGCAATCAACAATGCAAATGAGAGGTCATCGCATCCCATATTCCAAGGCATGCATCACAGCTCTACAACAGAACCACTAATGGCTTCCATAGGATGAAGTTTCAAGAGATCATTTGTACTTTAACTACAGCAGTGAAGGAATCAGAGATTTTGAGTCTCAGAGGTTTGCGGGATCCTTTTTTTCCCCCTTTCAATTCATATGCATTTTTCTCTGAGTTCATGGTTTTGGTGCAAAAATGAAATTTGGGCTTGGGCTCAACCGATAAGATTCATGAAATGTCTAACAACCCTTAGCTGAGTAAAAGTCATGGCTTGTAATGAAAACCCCAAACCAGGCAAATCTGCATAGTTTTGAATCTAAAGTTGCAAGTAGCCCAGTTAATATTTTGTGCTTCTGTAATGCCTTTTGTAAGAGAGTCTAAAAGCACTTTGCAAACATTAATTAATCAAGCTTCACAACACTTTTGCAGGTTATATTTCCCCCCCATTTTACAAAGGAGTATTGGTTAGAACAGACAGACACCCGAACCGTTGTGAAGCAGAGGGGCATTTTAAATAAATATAGTATTGTAAAGAGCCAAAAGGTATAGGCAGGTATGAATGCACGTCAGAACTCCCTCCCCTGCTCAAGTGTCAGATCCCAGCAGGAACGAAGAATCTGCAGCCAAATAATTCAAGCAATTAAAAATCTAAAATCATAAAAGGCTCCTGGGTCAAACTCATCTCTAGGTCAGATTCATCTCCGAGTTTTATACCTAATTAAGAGCCTGTTCTTGTAACCTTTACCCATGTGAAGTCTCACTGAAGTCAACGGTACCCCTTATGTGCGTGAACAACTCTCCCCACACCATCAAGCTATTCTCAAAATAAGATACTCCGAGGTGTGTTCTCTAAATCCTTAATAATTTTATTTGAAAAACAAGGTTACACTCCTCTTCAGTGCTCTAATTACCCCACCTCTCACAGGAGTTTAAACCAAGTTGTGTGTGTGGAGTAGAGGTGAACTTCAGATTCACAGTTAATAATCGGACAAATTTATTTAGTTTCTTTTGCTGTGTGAATGTTTCTGTGACAGGCTATGATTTTTTTTAAACTAACATGCTTCTTGCAATGGTTCGGTGAATCATCCACGTGAACAAAATTTCAGCAAACTTTATGGATTGTTCATGAGGCCCACTAATAGCATTCACAGTGTTTGACTGGTCACCTAAGGCCTGGTCCACACTAACCCCCCACTTCTAACTAAGATACGCAACTTCAGCTACGTTAATAACATAGCTGAAGTCGAAGTACCTTAGTTCGAACTTACCGCGGGTCCAGACGCGGCAGGCAGACTCCCCCGTCGACTCCGCGTACTCCTCTCGCGGAGCAGGAGTACCGGCGTCGACAGCGAGCACTTCCGGGATCGATCCGGGATCGATTTATCGCGTCTAGACAAGACGCGATAAATCGATCCCAGAAGATCGATTGCTTACCGCAGGCCCCGGAGATAAGTATAGACGTACCCTTAGTCACACAGCAGTGCTTCTGTTCGTTGGTTGAATGACCTAAACTTTGCAAACAGGAGGGCTTGGAGAAAGCATTGGAGTGGTTATTTAAGATTGAGGCAGAGAGCATTTTAAGAAGGTTCAGATAGAGCAGCAGATGTAAGTGGCCTAAGAAATCATTTAAAAATCTTTTCCTGTCCTGTTCTTCACAAGAGAGAACACGTACAAGAAGCCCAGAATTTAAAATAGCTTGCTTCCTTCCTGAGCACGGAAGAAAGATATCTAACCCTGATTTATTGGCTGTCTACGGACTGGACATTCCATTTGTTCCTATCACATTTACACCACGCAGCTATATATGTTGCTAGTTGCAGAGGTTATAGCTAGGTCCCTGGCTGTCTCATATAGTTGCTCAACTGCCAAGGCTTGGAAATCTGGGGTCTGCTGTTTATTTCCCCCGTTCCGTATATAACACACTGTATTATATCCACCAAGTGCATGAAGTGAATCCACTGGTCTCCATACCAAAGGAAATTACACTGCACTCGTTCACACAATTAATGGCTGTGGCAAATGATTGTTGACAGTATAGAAGACAACCTAGTGTTAATGCCTATCAGCATGCCAGAGCTCCCTCTCCTACTAAACTAAGAAAATTTTTGTGTAGCAGAGAATATTCCTATCTCATTCAACACAGCAGACGATATTCATCAAATTGAATATATCCTAAAATGGATCTGTTCATTCAAAAGCACACAGACCTTTTCTCTTATCTGTGTATCAACCCTCCTGTTAGAATATTTGTCAGTGGAATTTCTTCCTCTTAATTTCCCCCAGATGAGTTGTTGCAGGGATCCCCATCTTACAGCACAGATATTAGTTAGAGCTATTAGAAAAAGTAGACATTTTCTTGGCAACAAACTAGGCAGGCCAATTCCACATTATCCCTTTTATGCCAGGCTACAATTGTTTTACTTGGTGAACCTAGAGGCCTATTCCCCATCACTGACACCAATTTCTCTATCTGCATACAAGATAAACTGGAAAAATATTACATTCAAATAGACGTTTACTTTTATTTTCCTTTATGTGGGAGACAAATGGCACTAAACACTCAGGAATAACCTCTCTAATTTAGAGGAAAACAGCCACACAGCGAGGGCGAAATTGTGGCCCTACTGAAGTCAATGGGATGAGAACCAGAGAGAAAATGTAATTCCAAAGTTTACAAACAAGTGAATCTCTTTTCGGTTTCTCTTAGGGTATGTCTTCACTGCAGAGTTAACTCGGGTGATAGACACCTGGGTGAGCACTCAGGTTAGCCTAGTCTGGGTATGAATCACTGCAAAGCCATAACCCAGTTACTGTGTCATCACTGGTGCTGCGCTCACCCATAGGTGTGGCTAGGACTTCTGGGGAAATCTCCCTTGGTTCTTTGGGCCACAGTAAGCTAAGCTGCTCTATGATTCTTTCATAGTGAATTGAGGGAGAACTAGTCTGTCCTTGCGGGCACACGGGTGGAATTGTGGGAAGGTATTGCAGGACCATCAGTTCTCGAGTGATTTAGTCTGTATCCTTCCTGCAAAGAGAGTGATTAACAACCTGAGTGAAAGTGGCACCCAGGGTTTAGCTTACAGCCCAGCTGGGCCAGCTAAA